GGGGGTGAAAAAATGTGGGGGGCGGCTTTTAACTAAACAAAAAAAAAAAAAAAAAAAAAAAAAATCATCAAGAGCGCTGATCAGCAGATCAACCCCCTCACACGCACACACATGTGAACGTACGCTTCGGTCTCTAGTTGAACGATCCTCTTTCCTCTCCCTAATTAAAGCATTCAGCCCGCTGGCCTGCTCAGCTATGCTAATTTTCCCTCCATAATGAAACAACACCATCAAAACATGACCTGTTTCAAAGTAATAATTACCGTTTTCATTCCCCCAAAGTCACATCCCCCTCTGCTAGGAAATCTAGAGTCCAAAAACAACATCTGTTTTACATACACCAGCTATTCTCATTGAGACTCTCTTAAATGGATCTCCTATGTTGTTGGTCAGAAGTCAGTGCTCTTTTCTCCCTGTGTGTAACAAAAATATTTAGACTTTTTTATCATTTACAAGACTACAACAAAATTAAGGACGTTTTCACACTTGATAGTCTGGTAGACTCAGTTAGATCGTGGAACGAACTTGCAACATTTACATTTTCAGTTGTTTGGACTGAGTCAAATGAACTACACCCTTAAAAAAAAACTGTTGCATTTACCCAGAATTCCCTGCGCTATCATCTGCTTCCTGCTTCTGGAGTGGTCTCCGGTCCACTTGGTATTTACATACATTTAATCCGCACCAGAGTTCAGTTCAACCAAACAGAAAAGTTTGATTGTGCATTCACACTTCCCCACACGAATCTGACTTTTTAGGCAAACAAACTAGAGCGCAATTAAATAGGGCTAGTGTACATGCACCTAAGTCTTTGTGCCGAAAACGTGAACAAAGCTTTTACTTTGGATATACAAGGACTGGCCAGTCACTCCAAAAAGTCCTTACAACGAGCCCAAAGGAACACAGGCATAAGCTTTAATCAAACTCATAAAGAGATGTTAATCGGACAACCAAACTCTCATGATTCCTCTAGTAATTCTTCAAAGGCAAAGAGTTTTGTAAGGTACAACAAGAGACACAGAAAGGCAACTTAACAAAATAGCTACTAGCCATAACCACTCAATATACATAGGAAAACCAAGATAGGATGGAAGGCATGTCACATTTTAGGTTGTCAAGACAGAACTGCTGAATTCCTCAGTGGTACTTCACAATGTTAATTAACTCATTCTAAGCAATCATATAATTTTCTTACCGTTTAGTTGCTCCATAAATCGGCATTCTGGACTTTGTCGACAGTGTCGGCACAACCATCATACAGTGAGGGCAAATCAGACTCATTGTAAACTCTTGATCTGTACTCTGCTGAGCTATACACACAGCAGGGTTGACATGCAAATATATATACACACACAGGCGCTCATCACTTCTCGTAATCGCCCCCATCCTGCTGGTAATGTTTCTTATGTTCGTGATCAGATGTGTGAGCAATGTAAAGCATTTGAATTCAGCAGCTCAAGTGGCTTTACTCATTCCTGGCATGTAGGGCGCAAGTCCTCTGCCAAGAGGAGGCGCAATCACACATCTATGCTTAGACACAAGCACAGCC